GTGTGCAACGTATGATACTTCAATACGGCATTGACCCTGATGATATCTACAACTTTGATGAGACTGGTTTTGCAATGGGTTTAACTGCTACTGCAAAAGTAATAACGAGATCTCTATACTATGGTCGGCAATCAGTGTTACAGCCTGGAAATCGTGAATGGACTACTGCAATTGAGGTCTAGCAGTGGCTTGAACTTGCTCATATCGGGAATATATATTGTGACTCGAATGCTATCAGTCTCCTTAGCCTCACATGGTGGGGCAAGCAAGCAAAAGTATTCCATGTGATCATTAGTGACTAATGATGCTCGTGTTGGCCATCTAATATCTGCAGAGCACTTTTGTCTCCCATGTGTATCAAACTTATGCAATTTGTTGAAAACGATAGCATAATCAAGGCGACTGATCAATGAGCAACGCTTAGAAACACCTGCAACACGCTGCACCATGACAAGAAGCAAATATGGAAGCACCCAATTCCGAAACTAGCGAACGCCAGCACATTGCGTGGCAGCATCTCATCTACTCGTTGCAGTTTTAGGACGCCCTTTGCTTGTCTAGGAATTTCCGTCTCTGTGACACCCTACCATTCCGGGTAAGTATCACTTTGTTATTTTAACCAATTTAACTGGGCCTATACAGATCACATAATGTATGAATATAAATGCATTATGCGGGTTCCCGAGAGCCCTCGCCGGATGTAGGTGACCTACCTCCCGAGACCGCCTCGGCTCATTCGCTTGCTTTGAATGACACAGGTGTGAAGAAAAATCGGATCTGGAAAATTCAGAGGCATGAATATGCGGCAAGCCGAGAATTATTACTGGCTACATTGGAATTGAAAAATTCGATGATGAAAGGCACGTTCAGATTACCCCCTTTCTCGGTTAGTACACTAGTAATGACTTGGGAAAAGTCAACACGAACTGCTTTGTGAGGAATTCTACAGGTTCAAGAGCCTTGGTGAAGAGATATAAATGCTGCACTGTTCGACAATATTCCAGTATAGAAATTGAAGCGTGAACTTGCTGACATAGGATCCGCACTTCACCCAACATGGAAATCAATATTCTCGTTTCAAGCGACAACAAGAAAGCTGGTCAATAAGGCACTTGCCACGATGGTCATTTTTATGCATCTCCGACGGTGCTCATTTTTTATGTTATTGGGAGTATTCACGCTGTCGATTTCACCAGTTCAGTGCCTTCTGACCAGGATGTGTTCTTTTTCCTTTATTATCTGGTCAATTTCCTCCAAGTTTCCTACTGATAGTTGCTTTCTGTCTTTCTTCTTTCAGCAGCAGCGTCTTCTTTGTAAGGTTGCTGTCCATTCCATACCTGGGTTTGGCGGCATGCTCCCAAGGAAGTTCATTGCGTTTTTCGTCATCATGTATCAATAGATAATTCCATAAATATCAAGCGTCCCTGTGCTTCATCACATACCACGTCAACTTTCCAAACCAGTCATCCGCATCGTCAAACGGCAACTGATCGTACTGTTCAGTCATTCGAACCACTCTCGAAGAAACAGGATCAGTACTGTACGGGCTACCCTAAGTCAACTATCTGCTCTTAAACAATCTGAGTCGGTCAATACTTACAAAATCCAAGTGACATCCCCATCATCCATGATTTTCTGCTCCCATTCTCTTTTCACTGGCTCCTCGACGGTGTTCCATAGCATTGCCGCAGGGTACTGGAGATCGGCGATGACCTGGCGAACGGGCACGTTTGGGTGGATGGAAACGACCAGCGTTTTGTCGTCAACTTCTAGAAATCCCTTTGGGTCGTCGAGCGAGGTGATTCCAAGGGTCTTGAGGGACTCGTTGCCGACGCCCTTGTTGACCGGGTCTTGGGTGTAACACTTGACTTTCCGTCCACCATTTTGCTGCTCGAGGATTTTCGCGATAGTCAGAAGTGCCATATGCTGCGTGAGCGCGTTTGCAGCTGACGGTCCAATGCCGTCCGCAAATTTAACGTCGAGACATGCAACTGGGCCAAGCGCAAACCCAACGATCTTTGTGATAGCAGCCACCTGGTTTGGAGTGAGCTTCTCAAGCTGCTGTGTAAGGTGCTTGCAGGTCTTGGATTGCTTCCAGGCTTCCCATTGGCGCTCGAATGCGGTTCTGACTTTCTCGACCGTGATATTGTCGTATTTGTAGTGAGATCCATAGGTAATCATCATGGTGCGCGTTCCCCATGAAACTTTATTCTCATCCGGATGCAAGGTTGTCAGGGTCTCAATACCGTTGTACTTTATGCGGACCGTATCCCTTTATTTGGTTAGTATCTGTTTCATTCCTTTTGGTATCACTATGAGTACTTACACGCTGTCCGCACACCAATCTGGGATCTCGAGGTCGTAGACATGTTCATTGTCCAGATAGTCCCTGATCACGACCTTATTTTCGCCCTTTTCGAGATGACGGTCGAGGTCTTCGAGCACGGCACGGGTGAAGAGCGGTTTCCCCTCATTGTAGAACTTGAGGGTCTTTTGCAGATCATTATCGGGGCTCATCTCGTCTGGGGACGCCATTCTGTAGTAGATGCGACTTGCCCCAGAAGCTAAAGCAAATTGGACTTGCAGAAGGAGATGAAGAGAGCCAGGAACGAAGGCGATGAGAAAAGCAAAAGAGGGAAACCTGGTAAGCGCCTATATCTGCGAGGCTGTGTGTTCTTAAATGGTAGAATATTAGCCGCTGTCTCTAAAGATAGCCGCTGAGATGTGATCCTCCAGGATGAATAGTTTTCATTCGTGTCGGTGGCTGAGGCGGTGCTTAGGGGCTTTCCATCAAGGAGTGAATGCCTGTTCGCCGGCCTTATTGGAGCTTAGAATGCTGAGATAAGTGAAAATGTTTCCAGCAATTTGGGTGGAATATCGGAGTATAAGCCATGTGTAGCCAGTAGGTTGTAATGATAATAACTTGATTATGGCCTATTAGACGAAACCTACATCGGTTTTGTTGCGGCCTCCTATATACAATCACCCTTCAAATAGCCTACAGTACGGTAGCAAACATGGTAAACAATGCATTAATAGGCCGTGAAGGTCTCTTGACCCTTGTCGACAGAAAGCGCATCATACAGCCCGGATGGAATTTTCAGTTTTGTTATACAAGCCAAGAAGTCGTCAACTGTCGGCTGGTTGATTGAAAGCAAATACACTATACCAGATACACACAATCTTGTCTCTTCAACATGTGTTCAGAATGGAACGACTAGTTACAAGAGAAGATAACACGCAGCTACTATCTTGCTAGATATCCATCGATGCTCTACGCCAGAAGAGAAGTTCTCTCCACACTTGATTGATGATTGCTGACATAGCTCAAGTGTTCATGTTCTTCCTCACATACCAACAAGCTTACCGAACACATTATCCACATTGTCGAGCAGCAGTTGCTCGTACACCTTCACCATATCGGGAACCCTCGAATAGACTAGATCCGTGCCGTACGATCTACCTCATCAGTATTAGATCACTGCACGACAATGCAACGAATGGCGAAAGCTCACTCATCCTGTAGCTCCTTCTCAACAAAATTCTAGAGAATAACTGCGAGCTTCCCGATATCGGCGATAACCTGCCGGATTGGTTGGTCGGGGCTAGCCGAGATACCAACGTCTCAGCATCGACCTCAGGAAGCCTTTAGGATCGCACGATGAGGTGATGCCGATTGATTCTAGGAACTCGTCTCAGCAGTCTCAGCATCATCTTTTGCTGGATCCTGTGCATAGCACTTGACTTTATTCCCATACTGCTTTTCCAAGATCCTCGCCATAGTCAGCATGGCCGCATGTTGCATAAGCGCACTTTTAGCTGCTACTCCAGTGCCAAATGCAGATTCTAGGTGAAAATAAGCAACTCCACCAGGGGCTAATACAACAATCTCACTGATAGCTATTGACTGCTTTGGGGTAAGTTTCCTTGGGCAGCTGGAATCGAGTGGGCTATTATCGAATTATCAAGTACAAGCTTTCCAGATTGAACATCGCTGTCCAACATAAGGTGGGTTCGTGCCTTGGTTCCTGCCAAGAAAAGGATCATGGTTATACCAATGGCTATACCATACCATAGCAAACGGACCGTTATTGCGGGTGTTACAACATGGCGCTCCGGGAAAATTACTGGATGGTTCTCACATTACAGATATAAGAACTTGGGAGATTAAGGACCACAAAAGCTGGACTCTCTCGCAACTCCGGTTCTCTCGCAACTTTAACATTTGTTTCGTCCAGCATGATGAGGGTTTGTTCACCAAGGTTGACCCTGATCCTCGAAGTATGAAAGAGGTCAAGGAATGGCAAGCCAAAGATCGGAGGGGGCTTCGAGATGTTGCGGAAACTCTGAAGCTCAACATCGAGGAGGTCTCTTTGGCTGCGATGAGACATCAGTCGACTAGGTTTGCACTCACTAGACAATCAGGCGAGAAGAAGCAAATCAACTTATATCGTCTTCGGGAGGACAATGGCAGCAGCGTTCTAATACTGGCAGCGAGAGAACGCTTGGAGTCAGCGTCACTAGCCTGAGCAGCAATGACTAAAAGGTTTCTGTCAGATTGAACTTGAGTGGCTTTCTGTTTAGTGGATAGACAAATTGGGCCATGGCAATCCTGAATGCAGCATGATTTCCATCTATATCGGTCAGTAGTGATACTTTAAACTGGTGTTGAAATGTCCTCTTCCTTGCTTTAAGCTCGATTTATTGTTTAGTAACAAGCTGGAAGGGACGAATAGAATTGCGTTTGCCGTTCTTACCACCAAAACTCCGCCGCAAGGTTTAGTGGTGATATCATCTAACAAACAAAACATACTGTATACGAATTCGGCATTTGTTCATGCTGTGAGGGGAAATCCCAGTGGCGATGTAACCTGCTGATATTCTTCTCTTTCCACTCTGTAATTTGTCTCCCTACTTTTCTTGACTATGTACACGCATTATAGTTGTCAATCGGAGATCGCGGTATAGATCTAGATCTGGAAACCAAACCGACAGCGACAATGCCTATCGATCCCATCGATCCGAGTCCACTCGAGAAAGACACAACTAATAGAGAAAAGGAACAGTTCGCACCGCGAAAGTCCCTCCCGGCCAGCGAGACCAACCAACCATCGGCATCCCATGCAGAAGACCCCGAGTATGCCGATAAAGAAACAAAAGAAATCCATCGAGGTGGAAAGCGTGAACTCCTCGAAGACGAATGTTACGATAAGCTTGGGTTCTGTTTCCCTTGGTACAAGAAGTGGGGTATTCTGTCCGTCATCTTTGCCGTGCAGATGTCGATGAATTTCAACACCGGTGTATACGCGAATGCTGTCCCGGGGTTAACAGAAGAATTTGGGATAAGTGACCAGGCGGCGCGGGTAGGGCAGATGATCTTTCTTGTAGCGTATGCATTCGGCTGTGAACTTTGGGCGCCATGGAGTGAGGAATTCGGTCGGTGGCCGATCATGCAGCTTAGTCTTTTCCTCGTGAATATCTGGCAGATTCCTTGCGCGGTGGCTCCAAACTTTGGGACTATCGTGGTGTGTCGGTTCCTGGGCGGGATCAGCTCAGCAGGAGGGTCGGTTACACTTGGAATGACGGCCGACATGTGGGAAGCGAATGATCAAGGTTATGCCGTTGCGTATGTGGTTTTATCATCCGTCGGGGGCTCAACAATTGGACCCTTTTTCGGAGGATTCATCGGCGAATATCTTTCATGGCACTGGGTGTTCTGGGTGCAACTGATATTCGGCGGGGTCACGCAAGCCCTGCACTTCTTCATCCCTGAAACACGCGCAACGATACTGATAGACCGGGAAGCTCGACGTCGCCGTAAGAATGGAGATGATGTATGGGGCCCGAACGAACTCAAAGAGCCGCGGTTGGAAGCAAAGGACGTGCTACGGATATGGCGCCGCCCATTCGAGATGTTCCTGCGCGAGCCGATTGTCCTATTCCTATCTCTTCTTTCAGGTTTCTCCGATGCTTTGATTTTTGTCTTTACTGAATCGTTCACCCTCGTTTTCACACAATGGGGCTTCAGCACCCTGGCAGTAGGAATGTCCTTTGGCTCAATCCTAATCGGCTATCTCATTGCCTACTTCATGTTCCTCCCGGATATCTGGCGCCAACAGCATATCCGACAATCAGAAGGGTCTGGCTCTCGACTTGCTGAACGTCGCCTTTTATTACTGCTCTTTATATGCCCGCTTGAGCCCATCGGTCTCCTAGGATTCGCCTGGACAACCATGGGTCCCGAATATACTCCTTGGATCGCCCCATGCATCTTCGCCTGTTTAATCGCCATGGCCAACTACGCCATCTACATGGCCACAATCGACTACATGGTCGCCGCCTACGGTCCATATTCAGCCTCTGCAACTGGAGGAAATGGCTTCGCGCGGGACTTCCTGGCTGGGATTGCTACCATGTATTCAACGCCGATGTATGAGAATATCGGGGGTAGACTTCATCTCCAATGGGCTAGTACATTGCTCGGGTGTATTGGGGTCTTAGTTATGATTCCGATTTACGTCTTTTACTGGAAGGGGCCGGCGATTAGGGCACGGAGCAAGTTTGCTCAGACACTTGAAGCGGATCGGCAGCAGCATCCGGGGCGTCGGGGTAGTTATCATAAAGGGTATTAGAGGTAGCAAATGGCATGTAAATTTGATTCCAACTTTCAAAAGGAATAGGGCATATTGTGTAAACGCGAAATAGCCGGTCTTTATTGCCTATCCCAATCGGCCTTTGGCTGCTTGACTGATGCTTTGCCTATTGCACGTTGTCAAATCGGCGTCATGCGCTTTAATTGAAAAAAAGAAAAAAAGAAAAGAAAAAACTTCTTTGAATATGCAGCAGGCTACAGCTCGACAGAGAGCAGCCTGTTAGAAAAGCGGCACACCTTTGATTAAATACATACGACTCCTAGACCAAATCATCCACCTACAACCATGTACTACAACCATTCATTTCGAGAATCATGCATCTCCCAGCATCCTTTTAAAGTACAAGTCGAAGGCCTTCTAAGATAATTTGAATGACGATGACGCCATCGAGCTCACCTATTCCACGCCTTTAATATAGCCAGCGAGTCTTCTTCCAATCAAGATGGTGAAGGGGCTTATTTTCAAAGCGGGAAACGACGCCACGCTACGACTCGAGATTGAGGATATCCTTGATGCCCAATTTATTCAGGAAATGGCTGTCGAAAGAGGAGGATTTCGGATGTCCTTCCCCTATGTGCTCATAAAGGGTACTAATTCCATACAATTAACATAAAGGTCAGTGGACTTGAGATTACACATACCCTTTTAAAGAGGGACTTAAGGAATGAGAAGCTTCTGATCTATTATCCACTTGCTAAGTCTATCAAAAGATTTGCTTTTTCTTGGTTTTGTTCATGAAATCGTGTTTGAGGAGGCATTCGCTTATACGGAGTTTTGGTACATCATTGGCGTACAAGGCTTGTTATACCATTTCTTCTCTACAATAAGACTCTCAGTAATCAGTCAACTGCAGTAAGACAGCATCCATAATGTAGTATGTGCGTATAAGGCTATCTGGTCTTTTTCTTTGTCCCTGTATTTCAATGGCCCCTGTGGGGTTCTACCAATGGCAGCCTGTTACGCATCCGGCGAGTACTGACTTCTCATCATTGCAAGTTGCCTTCACTTTGTACGGCATAGCTTCTTAATATCCTCAGATCAATCATCTTCTAGTGTTCGTGTTGGCGTGTAGTCCGTCGTGCCATGATACATTGTTTGTCAATGGCCTTTACATTGCTCGCTCGATCAAAGCTAGCAGTCTGATCTACCCTTTGCCGCAATGCCGCAATATTTTCTGGTCCAGCCCGGCAACAGCCTCTCAGAATAGCTCCTTCCCAGTCCCCTGGCTTCATTTTCTTCACGGTATCCCAGTGAACCTCATCCACCCCCTCTGTCGGAAACACACCGCAAAGCCACCACGGCTTTCGTCCCTTAGCCCCTAGGGGTATATCATGAACAGCCCCCCGTATCGCTTTCACCTCATCAGCCCTTCTCACTGTCTCAAAGACCACATACTTGACTCCATCCCACGCCGCATCGTCCTCCACAAACACCCTCAACCGCTCCCCGTGCCACGTCCTCAACGCATCCTCATTATTCATCTTCTCTGGATATAAGCTCGAATACTCCGCTGCAGCAGGTGACATAGCCGCCCCATATGGACCTAGCGATAATGCTACGCGAACCGACCTGTCAGGAAGTGCTGCAAACGCATCGCGTGCGAGCGGGATCGCAGAGCGCATATACCGCGCCGCATCATCACGCGTAAATCTGGGATCCGTGCGCGTGAAACCTTCGAAACTGGTTTGGTAGGTTGCTGTGAGAAGAATGTCTGTTCCTGCGGTCAAGAAGGAGCGGTGCACGGTGGTTAAAGTGGAGGGGGCAGAGAGGAGGAGGTGCGAGGATCAGAGGGGAGTTGAGGAGGTGAAGATGATGTTGTGAGGAGGGGACCCGAGGGTGGTTCCTAGGCCTCCGTCGAGGAGGAGGAATGGAAGCATTTGATGGATCAATTATCGTAATTATCGCTATGAACGGAGTAAATGGAGTACAGAGGTGGACGGTACCCCTCATCTTATCAACAACCCTTATCAGCCTCCACTAGGGCTCGACTCGAATAGCTTCAATATTTCCCAAAACAGAAACTAGCAACCCGACCACCGCAACCCCATAAAAACCGTCTGCTCCAACGGCGTGTCATAATACTTGTCGATAATCTCAAACCCAAATCGTCGATACAGTTTCTGCGCTGCCACCATCTCCGGCAGTGTATCGAGTCGCATCCCCTCGTATCCGAGATCCTTTGCTTGCTGGATAATCGCTGTGACTAGTTTTTCTCCGGTGCCGGTTCCTCTGGCTTGGGGCGTTACGTAGAGACGTTTCATTTCGCACCAGATGGGTGTGTTGTAGCGGAGGGCGACGCAGCCGATTAAGCCGTTGGGATTGGTGTTACTTGAAGTGGTATCGGTAACTTCAGCGAGTAATAAAGCTCCTCCTTGTGAGGAGGCATATTTTCCAGGAAACGAGGCGACTTCCTTTCGGAAGTTCTGAAAGGTGAGGTCGACACCGAGAGATTCGGCATACGCGGCAAACAGCGCGAGAACCTGCGAGTTCTCCTCGGGAAACCGAGCGTGTCTGATCGTAACTGGCATTTTATGCAGGTGGTATAGATGGTTGTTTGTTCTACAAGCAATGGATGTTAGAGATATACAGGCTTATGACTCATCCTCGATCCCACTCTTCGTCCACCAGAAATCGCACTCCCTCCGACTCCATTCATCGCCGGCCATTGTCGCCGCGACACCTTTGCCCTCACCTCCAGCGCGTTCATCATTACCTTCGCCAAAGATCATGATTTTCTTTCCTGATTTTTTGGATGCATCATATGCCTTCCATTCCGGCCGATGCGCATATCGCCCACCAATCGCATTCGGATCAGCCCGGACTATAAACGAGGTAAAGTATGCATGCAGTATCCCAGCGATTTCTTCTTGAGATTCAGATATCTCACGCACCTCCGGGTTAAGCGTCTCGTATGCCATTTGGTCGCCGTGGTTTGCGCCGCCCTGGACGGTTTTGTTTAGTGCCCAGCGGTAAAGGAATATCGGTGCCTCCTGACCAGTCGAGGCGAGCGTTGCTGTTTGCCTAACTGGGCATGCGTATGCGTAGTGTCCGTATGCAGCTTCGACGCGTTTGTACTGTGCTCCGACAGAGATGTTCCTTGTTTCGGCGTAGATTGAGGAAGTGTCAAGTGCTGGATCGGGGTATAGCTTGTTGATTTTCTGGAGGTCTTTCTCCGTATATGCGGGAAGGAGGGTATGGAAAAATGAGGTGAATTCATCGGACGTCGACATTGATTCTGGGACGTAGTATGTTCCTTCGTTGGTGTTGAAGCCCGTCAGGATAGGCATGCGGTTCCATTTCCCAGAGTGCCAGGCGTCGATGGGCCGCTGCTTGATGAGATCACCGTCGATAACGGGCTGGAAGGCCCAGCGAACACTGGGATTATATCGGTCAAAGATAGTGAATGAGGCGCTGGTTATGGCTTCTGGTGGTTGACTGCGAAGGCAGGTCATGATCTCGGAGACAGGATGGTCCGCGCATCCGGCTTCTTGGACAAACTCGTCAAATTGTTGCTCGTGTAGACGTGCATTGTAGGGATGTACGGCACGAGAAGTGACTGATCCAGATTCAATAATTGCGCGGTGGAAAAGCCCTTGCGTGTCGAGGTTCATGATATGATGCGCGATCTAGGACTGTCAGAAACGAACTATACCTAGACGAAAGACATACCGAATGCGCTCCAGCGGACAGTCCAAACAGTGTCACTTGCGACGGATCACCACCAAATGCCTCGATGTTTTCTTGTATCCATTGAAACAGCAGTATTTGGTCACGAAGTCCGAGATTCAGCACGCCTTCTTCGGCCGTAATCGTCGATGGGAGGAAACCAAGAGCTCCGACACTGTCACAGTCAATTGGGGTCAAATTCATCGCAGTGTCTCACTTACCGATAGTTGAAGCTAACGCCGATGAAAGGCTCCTCAGACCATCCCACCATCGAAGCCGTATTGTGCATCGATGCTTCTGCTGTTAGCAGCTACCCAATTGAAACCCAAGGAGGCTTACAAGTTCCCCGATTGTAGGCACCACCATGCACGTAGACTGCGACAGGGAGTTTCTTTCCGTTCGTCCCATGAGGTCGGAATACGTTGACCGTAAGGCAATCTTCGCTGGAGTGACTGTCGCCGCCGAACTTCAGTAGCTGCTTTCCAGGGCATCTAATCAGTTAGCATTGTTTTTCAGGTCGACGAGATTGGTGCTCACCTCGCACCGAACTGACTCGCATCCAAAACGTCGTCTGACCTCTCAATTGCGACTGGGGAGCGAAACCGTCTCTCTCCAAGTGGAGGAAGAGCATACGGGATTCCTCGAAAAGCATCAATCGGGTTCTTGAGTGTATCCCACAAAGTCACACCAACCACCGTCCCCTGCTTAACAGTAACTCTCGGCCTCGAGATAACAAACTCCCTTAACGGCTCCGGAATCCATGGCGAAGCCGCAATCTGAAATTGCGCAATAAGTCCCGACGACACTGAATACCCATGTGTCTTCTGCACACCCAGCAGAAGAATAGCCGGCAACACCGCCAGCAACAACATTTTGAACGAGAACATGACAATTGCAACACAATTGAGAAAAAAGTATTCGGGCATCGCCCGCATTATCACTGCCGCCAAGGACCGGACCTGGTGCTGGCGTGCTTATCCTCTTTCTCCACTCTGGCGTTATCTTGATAGATTGGATGCATGGTTTCTCCGCATCTTATCTCGGGGTGCAGAAATACGGCCGATACGATTTCATATCTTCATGGTGATAGTATAACCCTTTTCGGAAATGTTTCTGCTATCAAGCCAAGGAACTATTTTCTTGCTAAGATCATGGATGGCGATAACGTTGGGGCTATATACAACGTCTGTCCGGGGCGGCATTGTGTCCATCCATCTTCTACATAGCAGTGTACTAAAATGGCCACAGAAATGAAGGCCAGTGAAACAAAAGATCAGAAAAGCTATGCTCTATCAACAGTTACTCCCAGATATGATGATGTCGAAGATGGCCAGATAATCTCCACGCTTGACGAGGCAGAACTCTTTCTCCACGAGCATGGCATCACCCATGCACAAATGCAAGAGATGCTGAGTGACGAGACAAAATCCAAGAAGCTCCGACGACGGATCGACTGTATCCTTCTCCCGCTACTATGTGGGACGTACATTCTGCAGTATATTGATAAACAGGTATGTATTCTCACTCTGGGGAGGGGAATGGGGTTAATGGAGCAGGCGCTCTCATACAGTGCGGTGTTCGATCTCTTCGACAATGCGAATATCACCAGTGACCAGTATAGCTGGCTGACCAGTATTTTCTACTTCGGTACGGTTATTTCCCAGGAGTGAAAGGCGGGACACTGACGATTTAGGTTACCTCTTCTGGGAGTACCCGGCTAGTTACATCGCCCAGCGTTTGCCGGTTGGGACCGTTATTTCTACATTTGTGTAAGTTCTCTCACCCATCTCCTCTATCCTATAGGTACTGACTATGCAGTCTCTGCTGGGGCTCCATCCTCATGATAACAGCCAGTTCCCACAACTTCACCGGACTAGGAATTTGCCGTTTCCTGCTAGGCTGCTTCGAGGCCCCCATCACGCCGTGCTTCATGATGATCGTTGGCATGTGGTATCTACGACAAGAGCAGCCCTTCCGAGCAGGATGCTTTTACTGCTGCAACGGCGTTGGTGCAATGGTAAGCTTTCCTATCATATCAATCTACCCAGGGCTGACAGAACTAGGTCGGAGGCTTGATTACATACGGCATCGGCCAAATCGATAGCTTCCCCGTCTGGAAAGCTGTGTTTATGATCTGCGGTGGTGCGACGGTTATCTGGGGTGGGGTGTTGATGATTTTTCTTCCGAATAGCATTCTCTCATCGAAGGGGTTTACTGTTGAGGAGAAGGTTTTGCTTATTGGGAGGGGAAAGCACAATCAGACAGTAGGTTTTATATTGACGAAGGAAAAGCAACCTCTGACAAATTAGGGTATCCTAAACCGCTCTATCAAATGGCACCAAATCCGCGAGGCACTTATCGACCCGCAAGTTTGGATCCTTTTCCTCTTCACCTTGCTGAATGAGACCATCAATGGGGGTTTTGCCAACGTACGTATACTCCAACCTACCATCAACAACAACAGAGCTGACAAGTGACAACAGTTCGGAAAACTCATCATCAAAGGCCTCGTCGACAGCTCCCTTCTGACAACAACACTAGGCATCCCCCAAGGAGCCTTCCAGGTATTCTTCATTCTCTCAGGCTCCTACCTCGCAACACGGTTCAAGAACATCCGCACAATCATAATGGCCATCTATCTCATCCCCACCGTTCTCGGAATAAGCCTTCTCTGGAAATTTCCACGGGGTGAAAACCAATACGGCGTGCTTTTCGGCTACTATATTGTACACCCCACCCTTCTCAATCTTTTCTTTCCAGCAAGCTAACAGTACTAGACGGGATCCTTCGTCTCCTCCCTCGTACTCGCCCTCCAGATGCCCTCCAGCAACATGGGAGGCTACACCAAGCGCGTTACCTCCACCGCGCTCGTCTTTCTGGCCTACTGTATTGGGAACATCATCGGTCCGCACGCGTTTCTGTCAGACGAGGCTCCTGTGTATCCGACGGCATGTAAACTCGGTCTGGCTTGTGCGGTGACTCAAATTGCTTGTGCCCTGGGGTTGAGGGTGTTGCTGGTTCGGAGGAATCTGGTGAAGGAGAGGGGGATGAGTGTTGAGGGGTTGGGGGAAGAGGTTTTGACTGATTTGACTGATTTTGAGGTGAGTCTTGCTGCTGTGGTTGTGCTTTGGTTGGTGTTTTTGCTAATGATGGTGTAGAATACGAGGTTTCGGTATGTTTATTGAGTTGGTTGGGCGCTAGAATCTGTATAGCTTGTTGTGTATTTGGTTTGTGAGGGCTAAAGTATTCTTCGGGTATGGTAAATAGGTATGATTAATGACAGCTTCTTGTGTACGACATGGTAGAAGGACTTGACTGTAAACATTGCATTCTATATTCGCCAGTCGTTCTCCCCCAAGCGAACCCTCTTTATCTGATTATAGCGATTGCCTATCAAACATTTTACTGTTGTTCCCTCGAGTGACAATCATCGACACAGTGTCTCTTCTTAGTCACGGTCAGATCCCATGTGCCGATTCCAGAGCAGACTAAATATGCATCCCTCGGACCCTGTATATGCAAAGCATCTAGATCCCTACTATTCGGTGGCATCGAACCTCACGTAGCGTGGTGTACAAGATCATCCACTGCGACAATGCAAATCTCTGCTCACAAAGCACACGTCTGACACCCTGTTCGAGACAAGTCCTATAAAATACACGACGTTCTGGACTCTTTTTGCATACCGCAGTGTCCATCTTATCCTAAGCACCAATGACATTTGAATATGTACTAACAAGGCTGTGCGCGAGTCTAGACCGTTTAATGTGGTCTAAACGTGGATTTGGGTCCAGATGTATATAAGCCTCTTTTATACGGAGATGCTCTTTTCCTTTCATCTTTTTGATTTATTTTGCTTTTGTATGTTGTTGGACAGGTTGCATCGACACCAACATCCCCGTCAACCGCAAAATGCTCGTCCTTCACATTGACGACAAGTAACCCTCCCGTACAAACCAGAAAAAGAATGATGCTAACAGTAACAGCAAAGTAATGCAAAAAGTCCTCCTAAAACTGCTCTCCAGGCAAAACATAACCCACATCCCCATGCACAACCCCCGCGACGCCCTATCCTACCTCTCCGACCCACACAACCCGCGTCCGAATTTCATTTTTCTCAAGGTAACCCCCTTCCTACACCCGTATACAGCAAAAGTAAATGCTGAGAAGATAGATGCAAATTCCTGTAATGCATCCACAGGAATTCATCCATATCTTGCGCACACAACCGCCATTCGCAAATGATCCGGTTCTACGTGCGGCACCGGTGATAGGTATGGATGCGTCCAGGGTCCGGGAGAGTCGCGAGAAATTCATTCGTGAGTGGGGGTTTGATGATGTTATTCCGCGGCTGATGAAGATGAAGGTGTTGCGGGATGTGTTGTTGTATTGGTCGAGGAGGGAGGTGGTTGCGAATCAGGGTTCTGGTAGGCCAGGTGGTCCAGGTTATGGCTTCCAGCCGGTTTGGGGGCCGTTTCCGTTAAGGGGATATACGGGACCGAAGTCGCTGCTTTAGTTTGGAGGATTTAAATTTGTATTCAGATGCTAGTGAAAATATACAACGAATGGAAGAAATATGCAAGACAAAGAGAAAGAAAGAAACCTAGCCCGTATACTTCACGTTGAACTCCTCATCACTGATGATTGTCGTCTCGGTAATCACTCTATCCCCCTGCTTCAACTCGACGATCGACGCGTCCTTGACTCCGTAGACCTTGTTTCCACTCTGTGCCTGCGTCTCTGTGAACGTGACAGTCCCGAAATCAACCAAGTTCACCAGCTCACCACCAGACTGAAAGTCCTCGACGATCCATTCCGCATTCTCACCAGCAAGCACCGCCTTTTCCGTTGGTGCTCTGAGAATCTGCGTTGCCGTTTCGCCGGTCGATAGATTTTCGATTTGCACATAACCCCAGCTAGACGAGTACGCCTCAACGACGAGATTCACGACATCACCCGCCTTGAAATCCAGCTCGAAATCGTACGCGTAGTCCGGGTACCACTCGTACCACGCATCATAGCGCACGTTCCCATCCGCCTCGACGTAGAAGTCCACGCCCGTCTGCAAGATCGCCTCGCCGTATGTGTCGCCGTCGATTCCAACCCAAGCAGAGCCAGCTGTCACACTACCTTCTTTGGCCTCGCCGACGGCCTTTGGTTCCGGGACTGTGAAGGTGCCTGAGACGTAGTTCCAGGAGCCTTCTGGGGTTGCTTGTTCGTAGACGGCGCCGGCCCAGTTGTTGCTGTATTGGATGTTGGTTAAGGCTCGTTGGTCGGAGTCGGTGGTGGTAAGGCGCTGGTTGGGGTTTGATTGGCGGGAGGATATGCGGGCTTGCATGCGTTCTTTGAGGGTGCGTGGTGCTGCCAGGCTGCTGCTCACGAGGAGCGCGGTGGTAACGAAGGTGCTTAGGAACTTCATGGTGGCGGTGGTTAACAATACCGTCGTTTTTGAGAATAAACCGGAGTTGTGGAGGGTTGCTGGGTAATATCACGAAGCCCGATGGTTATAGGCAACAGTGTAAAGACCTGGCATGTACTTTATAGCTTTGTTGTTTTGATGTCCCAAAAAGGAAATATCCAAGCCCTGTCCGTATTCATACCGCATACCAGACAAGAGAAAATCATCGGGGAAAGTGCCCTTTTTGCCGGCTACGCGTGTACTTCTATCCACGAGATTGGTAAGACCACATTCCTGAGCTCAAAACAGCCACGAATTAAGCTCAGTCTGGGAAAGCAAGCCGCCATGAGGAATGGTGCGAGAATATCCTTCAGTGTCCATTTACATTTGTGCGCAAAGAATTTGGCAAATGTCTTTTCATTTGCGCGTGCTTTGCCGGCATATGACTGGTATGTGTGTCAGGACAAGCGAAGAAGTCGCGTACATTCCAACAGCCATTCTTCGGTCTCTATTCTGTTTATCACGCACTTCGTTATAAAAGAACAAAGGTGGTCAATCCCATAATGTATTCGTCTGACTGTTGTTTGCAGCCGCATACGCATGGGCTTGCATCGCAGCGCATCACAGGCCAAGTTTTATGCGGTAGATTCGTCACATCGCATGTAGGCTGCATTCGTATTCTTCATTGCTGCGAGTATATATATCCCATGATAGGGTGTAGCGTGACTGTTCTTCGCTTCGATCACGATTTGCACAAGTTGAGATAGCCAGACGTGACCACGAAAAGGACGGAAATAGAATGATTACACGATATTTCTCCATTTCCCGCTTCAATTATAGGAAATCGCACTCGTCTGCTCAAGTAGGCATTGAACTTTGCTCCCTCGGTCCCCTGGAGCTCTTTACAACAGTTCCTGATCAGCAGGAAGCAATGGATGACCAGATCCAGACAAAAGCTGCGAATGTATACTTTGCTCCATAAACCGTATACCAAATCACTCACATCGGCAACCCCGGCATCTCCCTCACCGTCCAATACCTCCTCATATTCCTCGCCCCCAAGGTCTCAACCTCCTCATCAAGATGCTTCCAAAGCACATCCCCAAAAGCATCCATCAACCTTTTCACCTCCGCCCTATCAAGCTCCACATCCCCCATTCGGCAATCCTCCAGATACCTCTCCAACTCCGCCAGTCCAGCATGGATCTTCTTATGCTGTTGTAGAAGATCTAATTCCTTACGGAACTCGGGCATTTTCTTCGCGAGGACAGGGAAGATGTGCTGTTCTTCAATGGAATGGTGGAAGTCGAGTTGGGAGCAGAAGGCGAGGCCGGTGAGGATGAGTTGTCGGGGGTGTTTTTGTTTGCCGGTAGGGGCGCAGGCGTTTTGGAGATCGTTCCAGACGAGGCGAAAATGGTTGTGCTGGGTATTGTTAGGGTGAGTTTGTTGGGGTTTTGGTTTGGTGGGCTTACAAACTGGTCCATTTGTACGGACAGGCGGTTGTAGACTTGAAAGTCTTTCATTGATAGCGGGGAGGGAGACTCGCCCTCTCCTGTGCCATTGCCAGCGGACTCGTTTCTTTTCTTTCCCATGATATCGACAGGTAAGTGAGTAGCAGCTGAGTTTGATGCGAAACGTGCTGGCGTCGAGGCAAATCCACGAAATGCCGGAAAAGCCTGTTGCAGTGCTCGCATAAATAACAGAATTTTCAGTAGGCTCTGATGGACTCCGGGTTTACTGGTGGACGCTGCGCTTCGAGAATAAAATATGAAGAAGGAAAACCTGGGGTCAAGGATATCGGCAAATAAAAAGCCGCCGATTTCCACGCGCCTCCGGGGTTGATCCGTCGTTACGATAACTGAACAGTAGAGTACGATGTAGTGTTAAAAAAATAAAAATGAGATTGCTACAGACCAGCTAATACTAGCTAATACGAAATGTTCCAGGTCCTCAATGGACGTGTGCCATTTCAGCATCCGAAGACACTGCAAAGACACAAATCTAGTACGTCGCTGGTCAGAGTAAACTCCGCTCAATATCAGCACTTCTTCGGCACAACCACAGTCATTGTCAGGCTGGATTGCAATTTGACATCCGTGCTAGGTGATCTAGAGGCAAAAACAGTCCGTACGAATCAGCGGATACCCCACGAGAATGGGTGAAAAGAAAAGAATCGTTATTAGAAAGTATATCGCTGTAGAGATGGCGTGAGTATAATAAACACAGGCGTATAGACATAAGCCATCTGCGAGCAAGGGGTAACCGAAGATGTACTAGCAATTAAGACAGTAAAGGGTCGTAACTCCGTAAGAAGGGTGCAAAAGCGAGTCTATAAATCTTGATGAATTTTTTGGGCCGAGCCAAGTTTCTGGGGGGGGCGGAAGTTGCCCTTCTTCAACTCCTGCCAAGCGAGATCGAAGCGTGCGCCCATGTACCAGGCAAATCCAGTCTGGGAATAATTAGTCGCATGTTGGTGATAACGGAGGCGTTCAAACTTACCATAGTCAGCGCAACAATCAACACAACGACGCCCATAAGGCCCATGATGAAGTAGACATCCTGGCGCGCTTCGGCTTCTTCCTTGGCCTTTTGTGCCTCCTCCTCAGTCACTGTATTAGTCAAGCGACGCTGAGCTTCCTCAGCGGACTGGCTTGGGAAGATGGTTTCGGCAAATTTCTCAATCTGTATTCGACGTTAGCGCTGAAAACGTGACCAAGAATCTTTCGAACTTACCCGTCCACAAACAAGACTGATTTTGAGGAAGTTGGGGTCCTTAGGAGAGTTCTTCTTGTGAATCCGACGAGCGTACCGGCGGAACACTTGGTAGACTAGACGCAGGTTCTGAGTGGACTCCATCATCAGTTGGCAAGCATCACCCTTGGTGATCTTGATGTTGCGCTGGAAGATTGCCGGGTTGCGGAAGCACAGTTCAAGGGTAGCGATGGCCATGGACTGAGGGATCGCACAGAAGTTGAACACGCTCTGCTCACGCAGACCAGCGAGATAGAAAAGACAGTCCTCGACGTGTTCTAGGGCGTTCAAAACCATCTCGGAGCTGCAGTTCAGGGCGATACCGAGGTTTTCCGGCTTGAACAAATCGTCAAAGTTGTCGACGTGCTTGGACCAAATCTCTTTGGGCCAAAAGCGGCGCCCGTCATCGTTGTCTTCCCTGATATCACGAATGATATTCGTCTTCTGCAGGAAAAGTCCCATGGATTTGTGAAGACGTTCGCGCTTCAATAGTGCCGGGTTGCCGAACTCGGCCTCGATGAACAGACGGGTCAGTCCTTCACCGACCAAACCGGCCACGTAGTAACAATACAGGTCGTACTGCTCAATGGTGACAACGCTTGCATCGTCCGATTCGGCCTTACGGGCGTAGTCGGCCATCCCGTTTCCCATCTTGTCGGTGATATCCCTGATGATTTCCTTATAGGCGGGCTTCAAGTTCTTGAACTCGGTGATGATGTTGTGAAACTGAACCAGCAGTTCACGGTCCTTCTCCTCTGGCCGGTTGCCGTTGAAGGTCCAGCCATCTTGTTCGAGGAAGTCCTTGAAGTCGCGCAGCAAAGGTTCCTTGGTCGCAAGGGGAATCGAGGTATCATCCTCGATGGTATCCAAACCACGCAAGATCAGGTAGAACAGACAGACGGGAAGCAGCAACTCGGGATGGAGTTCCTTGATAACAGCGCTAAAACTCCGGCTGGTCTTGTCAAGAAACTTGAAGCAGGTCTTTTGTGTTTCGGTTTCGTCCTTCTCTTTGCGTTCATGGACGGGGATGTGCCAGACTTTCCTATCATAAAAAGACAGTGGTCGCACGTCAGCATTGATACTTCTGTCGGAATTCAGGAACGCTCGAAGAAGACAGGGCAAACCAACCATTGCATTATGGCCCTCAATTCCGAGGGATGAAAAGAGTAGTAGAGAACATTTCCGATGAGGCCCATGGTGAACGGCCGGGGTTGAGTCGTGGGAAAGAAAAAATGGTACAACAAACAAGAGACCAATAGAGATCCTTGAACTCGAGTAAAAGGACGGGAAGATCTCGTGGAATGGGGAAGGAATTAAGCCAATAAGCAAAAGGACAAGTATGGTATTTGTACAATGGTCAAGTGTAGTGTACAACGCGCGGTGTAACAGAAGCACGCAAACACACAAGATAAGATAGGATCAATAAGATAGAAGAAAAGGGAGAGAAGAGGTATTACAGAGGATATGGACAACACAGAGAAAAAAGAGGAGAGAATTGAAAGGAGAAGAGGAAGAGGAAAAGGCAGCGAGAGAAGAGGGAAAGGAGGAAAACTCGGAGGTTTTATTGGCGTGGCTAGTGTGGATATAGTGGCTTGGCCGGCCATTGTGCGGTGACCGGTAATTACCCAGGCACGGACACTGATTGGAGATACAGGGCTGTGGCGCAGCCCGACGATACGGTACAGCACCGCCTGGCAAAAAGAGCCCCCACCATGACGAAAGGAAGAAAGTGTCAGGCAGAGAAGAAAAAAATTATGCTTTGATATCGTCTTCTCGACAGCCTACAGAAAACTTGTTGAGTACTGCTTCTACTGTCAAATATCTCACATCGGGGTGTGCAGCCCCTATCTCTCACTTTCGTTCTTTCTGTTGGCTTCGTTACTTCCCAAAATGGTTGCCGATACCAGCTACTACGATGCCCTGGGGGTACCGCCCACCGCCACACAAATCGAGATCAAGAAGGCTTATCGAAAGCTCGCTATCACGACGCATCCTGGTATGACACTGGGTTACCATACTGCCTGTTTGTGAACACCTATTGACCCTTTGGACAGATAAGAACCCCGGCGATGAAACCGCACATGCCCGATTCCAAGCCGTATGCGCCTTGCGAGATATCGTTCGCGATAATAGTATGACTAACAACATCAACTAGATCGGTGAAGCGTATCAAGTTCTCAGCGATGATGACCTGCGAAAGCGATATGACAAGTTTGGCAAGGAAGATGCGGTTCCTGGTGGTGGTTTCGGTTAGTCCTTCCCCATTCCAATTCTTGACGACATGGGTTAACGATAACACGCAAACAGAGGACCCGTCTGAGTTCTTCAGCATGATTTTCGGTGGCAGCGCTTTCGTTGACCTGATTGGAGAGATATCCCTCATGAAGGATCTGACCACCACGATGGATATCACCATGCAGCAGATGGAAGAGGACGAACTCGCCGCATCCGCAGAAGAGAAACTCCATCTCCACGAACAAGAAGCGAAGACTGGCGCCGCCCCTACCGAGGGTACCACTGCAGAGGGTGCAACCGCGCCAACCGCGGAGGGCACCACGACCACTGCCGCCGCTGCGGCACCGCAGGAACCGGAGAAGACTCCCCCTCGACGATACATAGGCCAGCAGGCGATCATGGACAAGTCAGAGGAAGAGGCACGCATGGAGGCAGCTGGTCTATCTCCGGAAGAAAAGGAACTTCGTAAAAAGGAGAAGAAGAAGGGTGGGTTGACCAAGGAACAGCAGGACCGTCTGACTGCATACGAGCTCGAGCGGAAGAAGGCGCGTGAAGAGCGGGTCAACACTCTGGCAACGAAGTTGATAGACAAGATTAGCGTGTGGACAGAGACCGATAAGAGTTCTGACGTGACGCATGCATTTGAGGAGAAGATCCGCCTCGAGGTTGAGAACTTGAAGATGGAGTCATTTGGTCTCGAGATTCTGCATGCTATTGGTGCGACGTACGTCCAGAAATCGACCTCTTTCCTCAAGTCTCAGAAGTTCCTGGGCATTTCCGGCTTCTTCTCTCGTCTAAAGGACAAGGGAACACTGGCCAAGGAAACTTGGACCACCATCTCGACGGCGATTGATGCACAGATGACCATGGAAGAGATGGCCAAGATGGAAGAGCGCGGTGGTGAGGAATGGACGGACGAAAAGAAGGCCGAGTATGAGAAGAAGGTCACCGGTAAGATCTTGGCCGCTGCATGGCGCGGAAGCAAGTTCGAGATCCAGAGCGTGCTGCGCGATGTGTGCGATCAAGTCCTGGGTGACAAGAGTATAAAGCTGGAGAAGCGTGTCGAGCGTGCGCATGCCTTGGTCCTTGCTGGTAACATCTATGCGAAGGTACGATCTTATGCATATAGTGTTCTGGAACGGTTACTTACTTTTTTTTTAGGCCGAACGTGATCCTGAAGAGGAGGGTGATTACATGGCCTTCGAACAGCTCATGACCGAAGCCATGCAAAAGAAAGGCAAAGAAGAAAAGAAGAAGAATAAGCACAAGTCGAAGCACGAGGATATAGACGAAGCCCATGCCGAATAGATGATACCTTGACGATTTTCACCTCCAGCAACTCTTAACAATCACACGGTCTAGGTCCTTTTGCGGTTCGTTCATTGCCTGTCTTTTTTGTCATCATTTTGGTTTTAGTTTATATTCCCAACGGTGGACGGCTGGTTTTGAAATCGGTCCCCTCATGTCACTTACTATATAAAGTCTATGGCTGCGATTTCCAGCTGGAATGGAACAGTGTACTTTCTTCCCTCTCCTGGTCTTTAGTTTTGTTTCGTTCCATTTGAGTTATAAGGAAGGCTGAATTGTAATTGATATATATATCGTCCGAGACATCAAGATGCTATAGCATTGACCAGTGTTCTGTATCCGTATCTTCAATCTTCGGTTGTTCCTACCGAGTATATATATTGTTCTTCTATTCCATCTGGATGTCTCTATGTTTCTCGTATTGACACTCCAGTCCGAGATGATATTTACATACGCGGGCGGAGCGAGTCCCTGTACGCAACCACAGAACAAGAGGACCAGATAAGAATAACAACGAAATCAAAGATCCGTAAAAGCACAGGCATTTTATCAACATACATATTCGTGGCATAGGGCAATCCATCACATGACTGTCTCTGCCTCAGGCTTCTGCGGGGCACAGATATCGACTCGTTCGGCGGCACCTCCAACAACCAGCCAACCAGCTTGGATAGAGAATCGTCTCTTTCTTTCATTCTTTCGAGGTGTTCCCTTTGCTCACAATAACCCCCGGGACGACTTCTTGCGGTCTTTGTCCAGAACTGACGTGCGCCAATTCCTGACCCGATCCTTCTTTTCTCAAGTAACGACGTCCGCACTTGCTCCCCGCAAAGAACTTCTGAGTTCTTACCAGTCGTCGTGGTGTTGTGGTATACCCTGCGAGGCCTGAGTCGGGCAAGATCTCGATTTATGTGAGTTATTCGATTGTGTTTGTCTGCATGTTTGCGAGAAGCATTGTGCAGTGCTTCTTCCGTCGACGTCACTGCGGATCTGAAAGTCTTTGTCCCTTTGGATGTGCATGGGAACGCAATTGCTTTGGCTGTATTCTGCTACGGTATATGGCTGACAGATTTGATAGACCATCAGTCTTGCGACGAACACTCCCTATCCCTTTTGCAAAAACGAGCCTGTCGTTCTCTCGTTCCATCGCCAACATGTCTCCCACGCACAGCCACTTTAAACTTCTTCAAAAGTTCAAGCCGGATTACTCCCCCAGCGAGTTCGTCCAATATGAATCAGAAAGAACCGGTATGAGGGTGGTGGTTATCGACCAAAAAGGTCCCAAGGTGTCTGGATACTTTGTGCTTGCTACGGAGATTCTCGACGACTCTGGCGCACCCCATACATTGGAGCACCTGTGTTTCATGGGCTCGCGCAACTACAGATACAAGGGATTCCTGGACAAACTGGCCACTCGAGTGTACTCGAACACCAACGCCTGGACAGCCACCGATCATACAGCCTACACATTGGACACAGCTGGATGGGAGGGATTCGCGCGGATTCTGCCCGTGTATCTGGAACATGTGATTGCGCCGACATTGACGGACGAAGGCTGCTACACAGAAGTGCACCATATCGATGCCACTGGCAACGATGCTGGTGTTGTGTACTCGGAGATGCAGGGTGTGCAAAACAACTCGGCTGAGTTGATGGACCTCACCGCGCGCCGGTTGATATATCCTTCTGACGTAGGATTCCGGTACGAGACTGGAGGAATGATGGAGCAGCTGCGCGTTCTTACGGCGGAGAGAATCAGGGAGTTCCATCGTGAGATGTACCAGCCACGGAATTTGTGCCTGATCATCACGGGAGAGGTGGACCATGAGAACATGTTGGAGACGCTGGATCAGTTCGAAGACACGATCCTCGATGTTATCCCAAGCCCCGATTCGCCGTTCAAGCGTCCTTGGACAGACTCCAAGCAGGCACCTGCGCTGGAGAAGTCAGTTACCAAGACAGTGGAATTCCCAGAAGAAGATGAGTCTTTTGGTGAGATTGAGATCAGATTCTTGGGACCGGATACCACCGATCCGATTCAGAGTGAGTATCCTGTTATCTTCTTTTTAAGAGCAATTGCTTACTGTCTTCAGGCGGCGCCCTTAATGTTGCGCTCCTGTACCTCGCCGGATCGTCTGCCTCTATCCTGGAGAATGTCCTCGTCGAAAAAGAGCAAGTGGCCAGTGCGGTCTACTACTCGACAGAGGAACGCCCGAACATCGAAATCCAGTTCCAGCTGACCAGTGTGGAAACAGACAAGCTCGAGCACGTTGAGCGGAGATTCTTCGAGGTTCTGAAGGATGCGATGGAAAAGCCAATCGACATGAAGTACCTGCAAGAGTGCATTGACCGGCAGCAGAAGATCTGGAAGTTCTCCACGGAAAGCTCTGCTTCTGCACTCGCAGAGTATGTCATCTCCGACTTCCTGTACGGCAAGCGTGACGGCTCGACGTTACTGGACGTTGCAAGTATGCGGGAGTATGAGGAGTTGGAGAAATGGCCTGAGCACCAGTGGCGGGACTTTATCAAGAAATGGATCTCTGATGCTCCTCACATTACCGTTCTCGGTGTTCCTTCAATGAAGATGTCTGACACCCTCAAGAAGGAGGAAGAGGCTCGAACTGCGAAGCAGAAGAAGCAGCTTGGCGAGAAGGGCTTGAAGGAACTGGCCGACAAGCTTGAGAAGGCCAAGGCGGAGAACGACAAGGAGATTCCGAAGGAGATGCTGGAAAAGTTTGATATCCCTGGGGTCGAGTCGATCCACTTTGTCGAGACTACGACTGCGCGGTCCGGTTCTGCCCTCAAGGCCGGTCGTCCTAACCATAAGGTCCAGAAGGTCGTGGACGCCGATGGCTCGGATATGCCCTTGTTCATTCACTTTGAGCACATCCCCAGCAACTTCGTCCAGATGTCCCTCCTTATCTCAGCCCAGTCGGTGCCTGTTCAACTTCGTCCCCTTCTGTCCGTCTACACGGAAGCGTTTTTCAACATTCCGATCCAGCGCGACGGAAAGACGATCAACTTTGAGCAGGTCGTTGTTGAACTAGAGAGAGATACAGTTGGCTACAGCATGGAGGGCGCCAGGTCATTCGGTAACTCGGAAATGCTGCGCATCTCCTTCCAGGTCGAGATGGAGAAGTACAGCACAGCCATCGCCTGGCTGCAGGAACTGTCGTGGAACACCATCTTCGATGTGGAAAGACTTCGCGCAATCACCAGTCGCCTGCTCGCCGACGTCCCCGATGCCAAACGCAGCGGTGACGACATGCTAGCAGCCGTGCATGTGATGGTTCACTACGCACCAGAATCCATCGTCCGCGCTCGCAGCACACTCGTCAAGGCCCGCTACCTCCGCCGCATCAAGAAGCAACTCACCGAGCAACCAGAGGCCGTCGTCGCACGCATGGAGGAAATCCGCAACGCCCTCTTCCAATTCTCAAACATCCGCGTCCTCGTCATCGCCGACCTCGAGAAACTCCCCAAACCAGTCTCCTCATGGAAACCCTTCGCGGAGCGCCTCGGCACCCCCGCTCCCCTCAAACCTATCACAGCCCGCCGCCCGCTAATGAGCGAGGTTGGCCAGAACCTCGGCGGCAAGTCTTACGTCGTGCCTATGCCAACAATCGACTCATCCTTCGCCTACGCCAGCGCACGAGGTCTGGATTCCTACGATGACCCGCGCCTCCCGCCCCTTCTCGTCGCCATCGCCTATATGAACGCCGTCGAGGGACCGCTGTGGGTTGCCGTCCGCGGCAAGGGCCTTGCTTACGGTACCAACTTTGCCTATAACATCGACACAGGGTTCGTCAACTTTGACGTGTACCGCTCGCCAAATGCGCACAAGGCGTTTGAGTCCAGCAAGCAGATCGTCGAGGATCATCTGTCCGGTGCCATTCCATTCGACCCGCTCATGCTTGAGGGCGCGATCAGCAGTATCGTGGTTAGCTTTGCGAACGAGCAGGCTACTATCGCGAACGCGGCGCAGGGCAGCTTTACCCAACAAGTGATGCGGGAGTTGCCTAGCGACTACAAGGAACGCGTATTGAGACAGGTTAGGGCGACTAGCGTGGAGGATGTCAAGAAGGCGTTGAGTGGGATTATTCTGCCGCTGTTTGAGCCCAGCACGGCGAACATTGTGATTACTTGTGCCACTGTTATGGAGGAGGTGCGTTTCTTCCCCTCACCCTCGTTTGAACGTGACCAATTGACTAACTTTTGTACAGAGCATCCAAAAAGGCATGCAAGCATCCGGCTTCACGCCTGAGGTGCGGCCGCTCAAGGACTTCGAGGATGATTACGGATTGAAGCCTGAGGGCGAAGAGGAGGAGTCCGAAGATGATGAGGATTACGAGACAGGGTCTGAAGAGGGTAGCGAAGAGGAGAGTGAAGAAGAGTAATGTATGCCTATAGCCTATAGATAGTGGTGGCTAGGAAATAGAAGTACCATGGTATACATCGAGAGAATAGAGTAATAAAACATAACATGACTAGAATGGTTATGATACATGAGTCCTATCCTATCCCTGATTCCGATTCCTTCCTGACCCGTATCGCAACACACCACCGGGAACGATTACCAACTCAACGCCTTCTTCCCCCTCTGCCTCCTCCTCATCAAAATCTTCCTCCCCCCACGTGAGCGTAGTCTCGCCAGGAACCCATGACGCCGCTTCTGTACTCGCCGCGAGGGATTGTAGGTGATCCGCTTTCCGGCGAGCGAGGCACTTGCTGAGAATTGCCGGGACGGGCTCTGGTTGAAGGCAGATGTGAGGGTGGATGTAAGTGGTGATAGTAATGTGGATGTAGATGTGATGGCGGTGGTCGGGGGAGAAGAGCGAGAGGTTAGGAGGGAGGAGAATGGGCGGAGAGACGTTGTGGTGAGACTGTGATTGTCAGTATGCTATATCTTCGTTGAAGCAATGGATGGACGTACGGAGTCTGGGCTCGCAGCGTCCTCAGCGCGGGGAGGGTTCTGCGGGAGAACATGGTGGCCGTCTCGGGTATATCCCAACACTGCTGGCTCTGTTGAAGGTAGCTCCTGTCTCTATACTGAGAGTGGTGACAGTGCGGGCAGTGATAGTAGTGGTGACTTTAGTGGTGGAGGCGGAGAGAAAATTGAAGCTCCGGCGCCGCAAACGCACGGACCCGCAGAATCTTTCTTCAGATTTCATACATTCACATTCATATACATACTCCAACTTCGTACACTTGACGGGTTTGTTTTGATAAAGGGGTTACAATTGCGTTCGCGTCGCATTGGACACTATCTATTTTCTATTCCCTACATTCCTCTCCTCGATCCTCGCGCATCTACACTCACCACACGAGACGAGTCTTGCGACATCCAACCTACACTACAACCACTCTTCTACGCTCCTGCGAAACAATCACACCGCTGCAATGTCAATCAACGGCCCCTCCCCCCTCCCCCCAACAACTCTAACAAGCAATACCCCCATCCCCCAATCCACCGCAAGCGCCTACCTCTCCGCGTACCTCGACCGCGCCTCTACAGACCCCGCGCTCCAGCCCAACGCCAGCATCAGCGAGCATGGCCCCGTCAGCCGCACGACAGCCTCCGCACCAAACCTCATCCTGCATAATCTCAAGCGCGTGCAGGCGGGGCTTGCGGGAGAGGTTCTTGGGCGGGATTTGACGATGATTAGGATGGAGCCGGAGCCCGAGAATGGAGAGGGGGTTTATGAGGCAGGGCAGGAGCAGGAGAGGGTTGTTGAGGAGAAGGAGAAGCCTGTTGATATGGAGATGATGGAGATGGATGGGGAGGGCGAGGGAGTTGATAAGGAGGAGAGAAAGAGGAAGAAGAAGGAGAGGAGGTTGGCAGAGAAAAAGGCTAAGGCTAGGGGTTGATTTGCTTATTGGGGGGGAGAAGTTGCATTGCGATTACGATTGTTTGGCATGGGTCTGCTTTACTGGCGCACGGATAGAGGAGTTTGTATCATAAATCAAAAGTTCATTCTTCACAGCTATTCAACCCCTGTATCAACACCTGAATCCTTACAGCTCCCGGTCACCAGCCTTAACAGGCTCCTCACTATCCTCCGACTTGAGGTCCGTGACCTTTCCACCCGTCCAGCCAAGCGCCTGGAGACGCTCGGAAAGGATAGGGTGGGAGTAGTGGTAGCTAGCGTACATCCAGTCCGCGTCCATGGTGCTCAAGTTCTGGATCTGCAACTTGAGCAGGGACTTGGCGAGTTGCTCGGAATAGCCGAGGTTTTGGGCGAATTCATCTACATATGTCAGTTTATTGCGATAATGACAAAGACACGAGAAGAGAACTTACCAGCTTGGAATTCAAATCTGCGGCTGAGAATGTTCATCAACAGCTTGATCACGGCGTCCATTGGTGCCAGAGCATCAGAGAACAGCAAGAATCCGATCATGATGGGCTGTTCGTTGAAGAAGCCGAAAGACTGGTACAAGGACTTGTTGTTGATAAAGACTGAGAAGAGCGCGAATATGTAGAACATGTGAGACTACATTATTAGCAATTGTCATATAGCGTTGAGGGCCGAAACTCACCTGAGCAATACCAAAAAGCTTGGTAGTGTGGCTCAAACTCCAGTGACCAAGTTCGTGACCCAAAACAGCAACGACCTCATCCGGCTCACTCTTCTCAATCAACGTGTCGTAGATAACAATGTGCTTTTTCCAGGGCAGACCGAAAAAGTACGCATTGCTGTGCGCACTCCGCTTGCTACCGTCGATGACATACAATTCCTGAAGCGGGAACTCCAACTTCCGGGCAAGGTTCTCAACACCCGTCTTCAGCTCACCAGGCTGCAAGGGCGACAGCTTGTTGAACAGCGGCAGGATAGCAATCGGATAGATCGTGATGGCGAAGACCTGAACGAACATACCAAACAGCCACAGATAGTAGAAGAACGAGTCACCAGCAAACTGAATAATCTTAAGCATCCCACTGATAATAGGAGTACCCAAGACAACCCCGAGCATCTGGCCCTTGAGCATATCCGTAACCCACAGCTTCAACGTCTGCTTGTTGAACCCGAACTTCTCCTCGAGAACGAACGTGCTGTAATACGAGACCGGAAGCGACAAAACCGTACTGAGAATATTGAAACCGAAGAGAAACACCAGTGTCTGGCAGATTTCACCTTGGAACCGAGCAGGGAGATACCGAGCGAGCGCGACACCAGCGACACTCCAGAGCTTGGGGAGCACGTCACCGTAGATGAACGCGAGATTCTGAACTTGACCGTAGAGACCAGCGACGAAACCGAACTTGGCTTTGGCGCGACCGTATGCCTACAGCAATAGCATTAGCATTGGCACTCGTTGTCTCTTTACTTCCCCTCCTTTGGTGACGTACCTGAGACTCATCGTAGACTTTTTGCGAAACTTCATTCTCAAGAACCTTGGGCGGCTTTGTCCGCTGCAGGACCTTGTACTGTCGGAAGGACAGAAACCCTTCCAACAGGTACTGGCCCAGCGAGAACCCGACTAGGACGGTCTTCCATGGAAAGAGTGGGCGGTCCAAAAGACGCGCCAGTTGCTACAATATCAACGCGTACCAGTTAGCCAGATTCACGCGAAAGACGAAAGTACAGAATAGCGACTCACCTCGAGTATCCACATGACGGACAGCAGCAACGCGAATGTTGAAGACGCAATGTTGAAGTTGGACGTGGAAAGGCGTTGTGTCCTCTTCGGGAAACGAGCCCAGGGTGACTAAGCAGTCAGCCTGACATACGATGTCAAAATATAGAGTAGATATGCTGGAATTGTCTAAATATAAACACTTAAGGTGTTACTGGAATGCCTATATTTTATGTTTTTCAAATTTGGGTGAGAATAAAATTAAGCGATGACTACGGCTACAGACGGAATATATAATCAAGACCGGACATGGGAGCATTATAAGACGACATAGAACAGCAAGAAATCTTTTCACATAGCAACTTCATAACACGCGTCAGCAAGTAGACCTCCTACTTCACCATCCCTCATCGTCCAGCCCGTCCAATCCATGCTGCCAGACATCCGGCTTCCCCTGGCCTGGGCTTTGGAGGTATAAATCCTTCAACATGGAACGAACCAGAATGGACTCTGCATTCTCTATACCGGGGTAATACCAAATGCTCGCGTCAACTCCTTCGTAACCGTGAAACTTTTCCCATCCTTTCCTTTTCTTTTCGTAATAGTGCAGTAAGTTTAGCTCAAGATGGGCTCGAGGGTGTTACCACTGAAATAAGTCAGCAATCATTCTGGAAATTCTCATGAAGGGTACTTACGCAACAATGTTTGCCCATCCAATCAAACGCCAGTGCTTGTCAATTCTCCGACTGATGGCAATCTTCTCTCCAACCTCTGTGCATGCCGGGCTGGTCAAGCTGAGTTTGGCGGCATCGGCCTTGACACCAACAACCTTGGCACCGGTGGCTGTAGATCCAATGTTAACCATGAGAACCTCGTTCTTTGTCAGCTTGGCAACCTTGGCCTGCTTGCCGTCGGCGGTCTTGACACCCAGCAGACGACGCAGCAAGAAGTAGTTGACTTCCAGTTCGGTGTAGATGGCGGGCAGACGGCCACGGTGACCCAGAACGAAACCAACGAGACGGTCCGCACGGCAGAGCGTAGGGTCGACACGAGTACCAACACCGATCAAACCACCAGGGACGGCGAACTTGAGGTCGTTGTGTTCGGCGAAGAGCGACACAACACGCGAGAAGATGGGACGGCACTGGATCTTGCCGTGCTCGTCCTTGGTGACCAGACCGGGACGGATCTCAATCTCGTCACCCAACTTGAGCACACCGGTCAAGATCGAACCACCAGCAACACCACCCTTGAGCTCGTCAATCTCCGCACCGGGCTTGTTAACGTCGAACGACCGAATAACCATCATGTGAGGCGAGGCGGTAAAGTCACGGAGGGGAACGGGGATGTGCGAGACAAGATGCTCGTTGACAGCGTCGATGTTGTATTTGAGCTGCGCGGAAATGGGAATAATGGGAGATCCGTCGGCAACAGTACCCCGAATGAACTTCAGGATGGATTGGTAGTGCTGCAAAGCTCCATCTTCCCTCATCAAGTCAACCTTGTTCTGCAGGATAATGATATGGCTGAGCTTCATGATCTCAATAGCAGCCAAGTGCTCCGAGGTCTGGGGCTGGGGGCAGGTTTCGTTTCCGGCAATCAACAGAAGGGCGGCGTCCATGACGGCGGCACCTGACAACATGGTACTCATCAGAATATCGTGTCCAGGGCAGTCGACGAACCTAGATTGTCAGCAAACAACCCGCATACACTGTAGAGGTAGACTTACGAAACATGTCTCAACAGCCTGTAGCGACCAGTGCATCCCTCTCTTTCACATGGCGGGTCGACCTCCTTCTCACTCTTGAAACTCTTGAAGCATGTCGGGCGAGGGCACTCAGGGCTGTCGCACTTGTAGATCTTGGCGTTGGCATAACCCAGCTTGATGGTGATATTGCGCTCCAACTCGTTCTTGAAACGGACGGTCTGCACCTCAGAGATAGCCTTGACAACGGTGGACTTTCCGTGAGCGACGTGACCGATAGTACCGATGTTGATGGTCGCCTGACGCGCGATAATCTCGGGGGTGAGGGGGTTGAGTGTGGACAGGTCGATAGTGTCTGGGTTCGGCTGCTCGGGCAGTTCTGGTCGCTGCGGCTGGTGAGTGGGCACGGCGCCCTTCTTCATGGCCGACTTGCTGGGCTTCTTCTCCTGGGGCTCGAGAGGCTCCTGCTCCTCAATCTCTTCCTGGCCGTTGGCGTTGATCATCGGCGAGCCGGGCTGGGACTCCTCATCGGAAAAATCGCCGTTGGTAGCCATATTTGCGGTGGTGTCGATGAAAAAATCTGCTGCGAGTGGCAGAAGACTCTGACCGGTAGTGACAGAGAGAGACGACGGCGGATTAAACGGAGGGGAGGTCAGTGATAGCCTCGTAGCGGTGGTGCGAGTAGTCAAAAGTGGTCGAGAATTGAAAATGGAGGAAATTTGCTGTATTGGGAGCGGGAGGCGATACGATACGCTTTGTCGGCGGTGGTGGGGTTTGTGCAGTGGAGCAGTAGTAGCAGTATGTGTCTGTAAGTATCGTCAATGTTATTGTTTAGAATGTTGGATGGTTTTCTAGATAGTTTTCAGGCGAATATAGAGCTTATGTATTACTATCACTCTTCTTGTCGATTCATATGTATATATATATATATATATATATATAACTTTTTTTTTAAAAAAATTTTTTATATGCATTTTTGCCTAGCTAAACACCTCCTGTGGTGAGTCACGGACCATCAGTACGACAACTGTGGGATTATAGAGATACAAGAGTTTACAATTTTAATCTATGTGGACGCATAACTTTTAATCGATTGAATGCTTTCTTCCAGTGCAGATTTATGAATACATCGTCGGGGTATATAGGACAGTTATCTACTCAACATCACTCTCTTCATCCGATGACTCCTCGCTCTCTCCGTCCTCGTCCTCCTCGTCCTCCTCGTCAAATTCCTCCAGTGTTGACTGATCCTCAACAGGCAGCATCACAAACGCCTTCATACAGGTAATCCGATTGCCAGTCTCGTACGTGTTCAGAAGCTCGCCAGCCTGGGGAGCAGTCGAAGTATTCTCCGAGTCATTCTGCTCTCGGAGCTCCTTGCCATCAACCAACCAGACACGGACGGCCCCGTCACTGTTTGCAGTCACCACAAGGAAGACATCCTTCTTAACCGTTGGCTCATCCTTCAAGTTGAAGACCTCAAAGTCCTTGATACGCCCAGGTAGACCGTTTGCCTTACCACCAAGCTGAGCAATGGGTTCCGCAAAAGGAATGGACGAGTCAGGGTCGTTTTCAGGCTCCCGTAGCTTCTTCGTAGAGTAAAAGATGACTCGTCCATCTTCCGTGGAAACGGCAAGCAAGTCACTCGCATCATCGGATGACGGGTCAATGTTGACATACTTCATCTGGTGAAGCTTACTCCGCGGGTTGGGCACAACTCTGCATGTCGGGATAGAATCCTGTCACCAGTCAGCTTTCTCTCCTAATTATTGTATACCAGGGACAACTTACAATACCAAAAACCACAGCACCCCACTCGAATGCGACGGCGAATTCTTCACCCTTCGAGTTCCATTCGATCTTCCGGCCTTCACCTGAGCTCCACTTGCCCTCCTTGACCGATTGGAGCATCTCCCTGGTAAAGTTCAATACACCGGCCTTCCTTCCCGTCACCAAGTTCCACAGTCTCATGCATTTTTCTCCTTTTCCAACACTGAGCATTAATTTCATACTCGGGTGCACTGCGAAGTCATTCACTCCAGAGGGAGATCCTCCCTCTGGTGCAGTGTCACCGCTGGGTCTTCCTTGGACCTTGGGACGAGGAGCTTTGATGGTCGACACCACGGTCCAATCGCGAGTCTTCGAAATGGAGATGGTGTTGTCATCGGCACAGGTCAAAAGTTTTGAGCGCGACGGGAAGCTCAGCCCAGAGATGCTGGCGGAATGATGTAGGAGGGAGCCCAGTTCGCGATTCTTCGGGTTCTCGAGAACCTTGCTTCCTGCTAGAGTAGGAACGGACGGATACTGATCGTTGACGGCTGGAGGCGCAGCAGACATGGAGTACAGGTTGATGCGCTCATCGGTACTACCACTGGCGAGGATAACACGAGGAGGCTCCGTCGAATCCGGTTTGGGTGCGGGAGACAAGGCGAGACACCGAATAGCCGAAGAATGTGCTTCGAACAGGAACGTATCGGCGAATTGTACCTGCGAAGGGCCAGTAGCAGACTCCTTGGTGTCTTTTGAAGTCAAAGCAGCTGCGGACACTCCTGCAGTGAATCCATGCAACACTCTCTCGTAGGAGCCGGTCACGATTTGCACATTGATGACCGGGACGAACGAGGATTCCTGGTTTGTCGCGGGTTTAGGGACCTTGGACGATTTGTCGGAGGACTGGACATCCTTGGCGGTTTCCTCTCTCTTGCGTTTAGCCATAATGATAAAGAATGAACGATATTTCTTTGCTTGGGTAGAGTTGTTCTGGAATGCTCTCCAGCTGCAACTTTTTTTTCTGCCGTGCGATAGCCAGGCGGTGATACTTGTAGCCTTATTGCCTGATCCGGATACGGTGTAACTGCCTCAGGCTGCAGTGGTATAAATGTAGTCATCATCGAGTCATAAAGTTACATAACTCCCCGAGGCAAGAATCATTTACACCTCAGGCATAAAGATTCCGGTCGCAAAAAGGGTTCAATACGTAACGATACCACCATTCCTTTGCACGAAACCAGCCATCCCCCCTATCCAATACCATACCATACAACAATACGAATACACTCACACCTCCCTCTCCCGTTGACCAAGTCCAAGTCCCCCAACGACTGCCCCGACGAAAGGAAAAAAAAAGAGAAAAAAAAACCCTTCAAGGCGAGCACTTCGTGTCTGGATTTTAGCATCGCATAACACCACCACAACGCCCTTTTTATCATTCTTGAGCGATTTATTCCTTCTGGATGACCTCGCTCAACCCATCCCCCTCGTTTTTAGCGCGTTAATCGGATGTTGTGCTGGTGAAATAGGCTCCATGCTCCGTGACGAGCTTCTCCGGTCCAAGAACGATGAAATCGCGTATGTATTAATTTTTTTAAATCTCACGCTTTTTTCTCTATCAAAAGATACCATTTTTGCCCATTTTCATGCATTGGTTGCTGACGGAGAATTATTTCAAGACGATGTTTGTTGTCGCGGAAGCGCAAATTGAGTGAGCTCTACTTTGCGACCGTGGGCTTAGCCGGCGCGACCGACGGCGCTTCGACCGATTCGCGATATCACCATAAGGAGCAGGCGTTTTTGGACGCCAACGACCTGGCCAAGTAAGTTGCTTATCCTTGTATTACTGTCTTCTCTTAATTTTTATTTCTTTCTATTTTCGCCCTGTATACATGCTAATTCATACATACAGAGGCCACCACTTTGATGAATCTACTCTTCCACCTCTGCCCAACTATGCTACTCTCTTACCACGGCCGGAGGCTAAGGAGGCAGGCCCCCCAGCAGCTGATGTTGGCGCAAAAGGACCACCATCGCAACTAGATGGTGTTTCTACGCCTGCCGGGGGTGCTGTCGACAAGGCACACCAGCATCCCCCTGTAAGGGTTAGGCCTGTCGCACATGCTGAGCAACCTGGCGTAGTTCAGTCTCACGCGCCGGGTCCCGCCCCCGAAACTGTGCAGGAAGTTGGCGTGCCGTCTCCTGCAGGTACTCATCCCGCCCGATTATCCATTTCAGAGCGGAAGGTTTCTGTGCCGGGGACGCCTCAGAGCACTCATGGTTTCGAATCGGCTGGGCCGACTCCGACGGCCGCTGTTCCTGAGAAGATCCATGACAAGCGTCCGTCGCTTGCTCTAGGGCATTCCAGCTATCCTCCTGATCAGCAACCTCTCTCCCCCGTATCTTCGGCTGGTCACTATTCTGGCCATACTTCTATTCCTACTACCACCTCTCCCGACACCAGTCCTGCTGAAGAAGCGACTGCCGCAGCGCAAGATGCCAGCCATAAACCGAAGCATGATACTTCTGTGCATGCACCGCCCGGCCTGGTTTCATCGACGCCAGACGAACAGCTTCGCTTGGAAGAAGCGCAGTCCATCCAGCATGCCAGCAAGTCTATTGATGACCCTGCCAGTGTCAATATCCCATCTTCGAACGAAATAATTCAGGTTTCGACTCCAAGTATACCAAAGGACCAACCAGCGCCACTGCCTTCTGAAGTGAAGAAACCTGATGGAGTTATTGAACCAGTGAATGACGCTCTGGTCCCGACACAGCCAGAAACACCACGACCGCCTGTCGATGCAGCTCCAAAGGCAACGCCGTCTGGCCCTACCGCATTGAAGAAGGCTCAAACAACGCCTGGGCCGCCTCCAGAGAGGATGACCACGCGAGTTTCTTCTGGTGCCATTCGCCACAAGTCTGTGTCTGAGATCTTAGGAGAAACACCAAAGCGTACGGTCTCTCCATCTGAGAAAGAGTCGCCACGGGCTGCCATGACTCCGGAGAAGAGCCCGCCCGAATCCCCGGCTCGAATGCGTTTCAAGGATCGCAAGGACCGCGAAAAGGAAAGGAGTAGACTCTCGACCGTTGTATTCCCGAAGCAGCAGCAACTACAGCAGCAACAGCAAGAGAAAGCTGATTCGTTGAATCTTGTGCGCCAAAACATCGGTGATCTGGCTAGGCTGAATGAGGAGCAGGACTATTTGTTTACCCTATTCCAGAGCAAGGCTTACGCTCCTCCTCGAGGCACTAACCTCGGCACACTTGTTGCCTCTGCGCACAAGACGCTGAGCACTAGCAATCATCTCGTCGAGTACCAGGAGCAAATGGATTGTCGCACTCTTCGTCGGATTTACGCGCTGCAGAATGCCAACAGATGGCCTCTTCGCCAGTACAAGCGTTCAATTGAGCCTCCGCGCCAAGGGACCCACTGGGATGTGCTTTTGGACCACATGAAGTGGATGCGAACGGACTTCCGGGAAGAACGCAAATGGAAGATCGCGGCTGCAAAATGCTGCGCGGACTGGTGCGCTGAATACATCAACAGCGACCCTGAGCACCAGACGTTGCTGCGTGTGCAGGCGAAGATTCCGTCTCGGAAGGCGGACGCGGAGGGAAGCCACAACCAGAAGACCGACATGATCTCGCCTCCCGAAATGGGCGACGAACCGATGGCAGGCGTCTCTCACCCTACTCCAGACCTAATTCCCTCAACAGAGGAAGATTCCGTGGACGAAGCTTTCAATGACGAACCGCGCCATGACTTACCTAATACTGTTGCACCTGCAGCTATCTTCTCATTGGGATCGGACGAATTCACATTCTCCCTCGATATGACACCGGCCGCTGAGAAAATTCTTGACGAACTCCCTATATACACCCCTGTCAATATCGCTCCCGATACCAAACTTCCGACATTCAAGGCCCCTCCTGATATTGCTTGGAAGACAGATATTCTCCCAGTCTCCAAGTATGCGACTGGCAAGATCCGTTTCAGCGAAGAAGGGCCGCCGAGAAAGCGAAGCCGCTACGACTATTCGCAATATGAACCAGAGGAGCCACCTTTGTTGGAGTGGACACCAGAACAGACCAACGTTGCTCTATTCCGACCGGAAAACCAGCCTATTCGCGACCGGATTCACCCTGGCCATTCTTTCCGACCGCCAACCGAATATCCTATGCCGTCTGTCGGGTTCTTTGAATCAAGGCAATCATCCCAGTGGACGTACGCAGAGGACGATGAGCTACGACGCCTTGTGAAGGATTATCCATACAACTGGTCGCTCATTTCCAGCTGCCTTTCGCCATCGTCACCGTTCACGTCTGGTGCAGAGAGAAGGACGCCGTGGGAATGTTTTGAGCGATGGATAGGGCTGGAAGGATTGCCAGCGGATATGTCCAAGACACCATATTTCCGGGCTTACCATCAGAGGCTGGAGACGGCGCAGCGAAACGTGCTCGCACAACAGCAGGCCGCCCAACAACAACAGGCACAGCAGCCAAACGCACCGCCGGTCCGTAGGAGGACAACACAACCTCTTCGAGTCGACCGCAGAAGGTCTTCTAAACACATTACTTTGCTTGATGGAATGCGCAAGTTGGCCAAGAAGCGGGAGACTATGCTTCAAAAGCAGCAACATGGTAAGTATCAAGTTCTTTTAGCGAAATTGATTGGCTAACATCTCTATTAGCTTCTCACCTGGCTTCGATGAGAAAGGTCAATGAGGCCAATCAACCGAAGCCCCCGATCACGACGCCTGCTGAGTTCAGTCGGCTAAAGTACGAGCGGGAAATGAAGCTGCAGGAGAGGCAAGAACAATACCGGCAGCAGATGATTGCACAACAAAGGGTAAGTGTTCATTTGTTCTAACACAGCAGTATGCCCGCTCACAGGAAACAGGCGAATCTGGCTGCTCAACGTGGGGGTCAAGTGCCCAACCAGCAACCAATGATAAACGGCCAAGCTGGAAGGAATCCAAACGGTATGCCTAATGGTGCACCTGGAATGCCAAACGGCGCACCGAATGGGATGCCGAATGGCATGGCAGCTAGCGTTAGTGTTAACCAAGGTCGTCCCATGCAAGGAATGCCTGGTGGCGCACCCGTCAATGGCCCCATGGCGCCGAATCCGATGGCGATGAAGATGATGCCCCAAGCGGGGATGCAGCAGACCACCGGTGGTCGACCCGGATTGCCGATGCAAACTTCTCCGGATAACACACGAGTCATCCGGGAGGCGAATCGTCTTCAAGAGCAGCAACGTATCCTGCAGTCTCGACAGCAACAGCCACAGCAAGCCCAGCAGCAATTTCATAATCCGCAGCAGTTTGGGCCGCAGGGATCTCACTCCCCCAATCTCAACATGCCAAACGTCAACGGCACGCCGAACAACCCCGCTATGATGGCAGCGCTTCAAGCCAATGGTGGAATCCAAAGCCCACCTTTCCACAACGGCACTCCCCAGGGGGTGTCTACGCCTTCTCCTCGGATGGGACAACCGAACCCGCTTTCCAGTGGATTGGTTCCGACTATCAGCAACATTCAAAGCCAAATCCAACGGGCTCATCCGAACATGCCTCCTGAACAAGTGACTAAACTGGCCACGGAGCGTCTACACCAGTACCAGCAGCAGCAACAACAGCGCATGTCTCAAGCCGCCATGAACGCCGCTGCGGGTAATATTGGCAGTGTCCAAGCCAACTATCAGGTGTCGCCCGACTTCCACCAGCCTCAAGCGGGAGCCAACGGCGGGCCTGGCATGCAGGTACCTCAAACGCAAGGATATTCGCCTATGATGCGAGTTCCGCAGACTGCCCAGCCGAACCGCGTAAATGCTGGGTCACCTGCCATGAACGGAGCCGTTGCTCAACAGAGTCGGAGTGCAACTCCACAGGCACAGCGCACGAGTAGTACTCAAGGGACCGCTGTTCCGGGTTCTAACAAAAGCCCGAACCTTCCACAAGCGCAAACCGCTACGAGCTGAGACTTCCATCCGCTTGGCCGATATCCTTACCTCACCTTTCTCTTTACGCTTCGATTGTACATATTGTTTTCACGAACGCTTTTTAAACCCCCTTCTTTTGATCATCCTTTCCGTTTCTCCCCACACTCGATCCGCAATGCGGATGTTATCCCACTGCTACTGCTACACCCTGATTTCTCCGTACCGCCTCACCTGTTGTCGTTACTTTGCCTTCTCTCCTCCCCGACTCACCTTACTTTGGCGCCTCTATTTTCATGTATTTGGCCACGCTTATTCCTGGATCTACCGGCATGTAGGTCCTTACAGGCGTTGGAGTGATAGTTTACTCTTTGGTACCAACACGTGTATTGATAATGCGATTAAGAACCGGAAGTACCTTCACAGTGTACCCGACCGGCCATTGGAATGAATTCAAGTCTAACAAGAATCAATTATTACGAAGTATGATTAGTGAATTGTAGTCTGATAAGCTGCTAATGTAGACGTGCTCGTAATGCAGCCGATCCAAGCGCGCGTTTAGGTTTCGAGGTCGCCACCGCTTTGAGCCGCCTCATAGCTCAAGCTCCAGACTCATTACCTTCTCTCTTTACTCGAGTTTTTGTTTCTTATAGAACGAGTCCATATGTCTCTATTTGGATACCATTATCAATTCTAGCCAAAATACAACAAAAGGCATCCACAATGTCACCACCACCCGAAGATACGAATGCCCCCAAAAAGCCCTTCTCCCTCTCCCTCTCAAGCACCTCCCAATCCAAAAAGACCCCCTTCAATCTCAAACCCTCCTCCCGCGACCCCCAAACACCAAATCGCGCTCTCCCCCGTCGCCCACATCACCTCCACCATGACGACGACTCCGACAACGACGACGAAACCCACCCAGCCGCTGAGGCCGTAACGGGTTTCGATACGCTTACTGGTGCAGCGATCGCGGCAGACGGGACCAAGATTAGCACCGAGAAGGAAAAGCTGGTTATACCCGTTGCGAGCGGGAATAGTTGGCGCGAGAAGGCTGGCGTTAATGTGCGAGCGAAGGGAAAGAATTTGCTTCCGAAGGAGGTGCAAGCGATTAGGGAGGCTGAGAAGAGGGGCGAGACGGCTGGAGATAATGTTGAGAGGGAGGGACCAAGTATGGCGTTTGGGATTAGTTTTGCGCAGCCTGGTCAAGGGGAGAAAGAGACTGGGGATGGGGATAAAGAGATGAACGATGCGGATAAGGAGCCGGCGCCTGCTGCTGAGGAGCGGAAACTGCGGACAGAAGATGAGATTGCGCTGCAGGCTCTTATTCGGGAGACTACTGGGGAGGTACAAAGGGGGTCAGATTTGGTTATTGAGTCTGCAAAACGCGATGAGGGTGAAGACATGGGCCCAGGATACGATGAGACGAACTCTTTCCGCGCTGATGTTGAGGCGCGTCCTGAGCCTGCAACATTGGACCAATACAATGCGATTCCTGTGGAGGAATTCGGCGCAGCATTACTACGGGGTATGGGCTGGAAAGACGGACAGTCGATTGGAAGGGGTAACTACGGCTCGACGGCGAATCCTACCCGTCCGCGTATCCCGGAACGGCGACCTGGTTTTCTTGGAATCGGAGCAAAAGATCCCTCTGGCGGTAAAGGCGCAGAGGTGGAACTGGGCGCTTGGGGCAAATCGTCAATGCGCAAGGGTGCTCGAAATGCCGAGAAAGAGGGTGGAGGGAGTACTGAGGGTGTTTATATGCCCATTATGATGCGGAACAAGCAGACGGGCGAATATGTCACCGAGGAAGAGCTTAGGGCTCTCCAGAAAGAGGCCAAATCTCGAAAAGTCGACAAGGATGATGAGTGGAAGGAGCGACGGGATCGCAATCTGGAAAAGAGCGGACGCGATAAGGACCGTGACCGTGACTACAAAAGACACGACTACGACAATGACGACCGATACGAAAGGCGGAAGGGATCTTCGCGACGAGATAGAGATAGAAGCTCTTCTGGCGATCGCTATTCAAAACGTGATCGGAGAGACAAAGATGATCGGTACTATCGGGACCGTGATAGCACAAAAGATCGCGAGAGGGAGAGGCGTCATCGGTATCGCGATGATGATCGGTACAGTTCTAGGCATTCTTCCTCCAGGCGTGATCGGGATCGGGACCGCGACAGTGACCGTGATTCGCACAGGAGGAGACGTGATGATCGATAGAGTGGCCTTTGGGGTACTTACAGACGAGGATGGAATTTATCCGACACAATTTCAGCATTTCAGAATTTCCCTGTATTATATTTATGCTTTAGATTGTCTATATACAATTGATACCCTTGCTGGCATGTCGATTGAGCCACGCTACTATCCTTGTATGGAAAAATTCGACCGTTCCATAACAATGTGCTCGATTTCACATACAGTAGACTCAAAAATTGTCTATAATTGCTTTTATATGTTCCCAATCCAATATCATAAACAATGCAAACAAATACTCCACAAATGCGCCATAGATATCACACCGTCATTTTATGCCCCAAGCATAAGCACATCTTTCTCCTCCCCATTAATCCCAGACCCAGGCTCCCCAAGTCCACCCAACCCAACACCCCCATCCATCTCGCCCAGAACCCATTCCACCAAGTAACTATCATCCGCCAACTCTTCAACCCGGCGATAATGCCGTTCCGTGTATGCAGCCAACGCCTGCAGGATATCCTCCATGCCGGCTGCGGTAGCCCTATCACCGCGCTTCGCCATACTCGACTTCGCAAGCTCGACGAATGTCGATGCGGGGTATGAGCGGAACAGTGCGAACAAGATACGCTGCGAAATACGCGCTGTCCGCGCGTTGGTGTTCCAATCCCGAAGACGAAGGAGGAGGGTCCGCAGATTCGACGGGTCAAGAGTCTGCAGGACCTCGTCGATGGAGGGGTCACCGGTTAGACTATTCTCGCGTGCGTCGCGATCTTCCTGTGTAGCGTAGGGATCATCAGCGACGTCGACGGCCTCGTTGAAGAGGGTCAGGAGACGGCCTGGGTGGTTGAGTTGGAGGGCGAGGGTGATAGCTTCGCGGTAGGCGCCGGCGCGAATGTAATTCTGGAGTTGTTGGTCTTGTTCGATGCGGAGGGAGTTGGCATTCACGGAGGCCGTGTAGGTGGCGGAGGTGGTGTCTGTCCAGACGGTTACTGTTGCGTCTGCGGAGCCAGAGGCGAGGGCGTAGGGGGAGGTGTTAGTGGTGTTCTTGTTGTCGAAGGGTTTGGTGTCTGTGCGGGAGCCGGAGGGGTAAGGGCTGGTGAGGGCCCAAACGCGATCTGTGTGGTTGTCGAGGGTGGTTTCAAGCTCGCCGGTGTACGGGGACCAGACCTTGACCAGACCATCGGCAGCTGCTGATGCGACAAGAGGACGGGCCTGTGCGGCAGCGGTGCTGCCGGATTGCTGTGCTTGGTCGTCCTCGTCCTCATCCTCGTCACCGCCTTTCTTGGAAAGGTCTGGAGGAGGGAGCCAGAGCACCTTAAGGACGCTGTTGGTGTGGCCTTCGAAAGTCAGCAGACAGCTGTAGTCTGCCAAACTCCAGATCTTGACGGTCTTGTCTCCAGATCCAGTAAGGACCAAGCCGCGGTTGGTACTCGTGCGGTTATCGGTGTTGAGGATGGGCGTGTCTTTGGGCGAGAAGCGAACAGACCAAACACCTCTCTTGTGGCCACGGAGAAGACCGATTGTGGTGCCGTCCTCGGCGGACCAGATCTTCACTGTACGGTCCTGCGAGGCGGACGCAAACAAGGTAGATGTGGGGTTCATGTCAAGAGCGTTGATGTCCTTTTCGTGCGCTTTCCGAGTGAAGGACGCCTTTGCAGAATGAGGCTTCGAAGACGTGAGCGGGGCGAGCTTGGCTGTCTCCCATCGCTTGATGGTGCGGTCTTGCGAACCAGTGAGCATGAACGACGGTGGGTGGTTCAATGGATCCTTGTAGGCAGGAGTACCGACAGGTGGTGGTACATGTGGGAGAGCAATAGCTCCGAGGGATTCGGCGTGACCTGTGAAGACTGCGAAGCAGGTATAAGACGACGTCTTGGGGTCGAGACGCCACAAACGTGCGGTGTTATCTTTGGCACCTGTTGCCAACCAGTGACCGGACCAGTCCACGTCAAGACAGATGATAATGTCGTCGTGACCCTCAAGATGAGTGACATCCGCGCCAAAATACTCCCCATCAACCGACGACCGGTCCTCAGACGGGCCTACCGACACCACTCTGATGCTTTCAGTATTTGTGGCTAGAGCCAGCATGGACCGGTCAGGTCCAACGTATGCAAGATCGATGATTTCGTCGTCGTTGCCGGAAATGCGCCTGGTAACAGCCAACGGCTCGAGAGTCGAGCCGGGTTTGAAGTCGGACAGAGATTTCAGAGAGTGAAAGCGGATGGTCTGATCGGCGTGAACAGTCATCACAAAGGGCATGCCAGGAGTATACTGAATGGAAACCACGGCTTCGAACTCCGATGCAGGTTCCTGCTCCTGAGTGACTTCACTTCCTCGATTGCAGTCCCACACACGGAGCCTACCATTCTCTCCACCGATCATGCACAGCTCGCTGTCTGTAAGGAAAGATGCAGCTTCAACGCTCTCCAGAACAGGGATAATTCTGCGTGTCTTCCATGTGCGCACATCCCAGACAATCACAGTTTTGTCACGGCTAGCCGACAGTAGGGCATTTTCCAAAGGCGAATATGACAGGCCCCGCACAACGGAAACATGGGACTCAAGGTTGGCGAGAGACTTTCTCTTGTTCAGATCCCAGATGCGCACTCTACCCTCCTCGCTTCCGGAAGCAAGACGGAATCCAGTGGGCGAGCCGATGGCAGCGTCCTCCATGTCTTCGTCATCGGAATCGGCAGCCTTTTTGGACTTCTTCTTCTTGGAAGTAGACTTGTTGTCACTGTCGCTCGTAGGGACTTCGAAGAAGCACAGAGCGGATACAACGCCTCCGTGACCGTGGAAAGTGTGCGTCGCAAACCCTCCCCGGATATCCCAGACTTTGATGGATCCGTCTGCTGCTCCGGTTGCTAACAATGTCCCGGTAGCGTCAACTGTGGTGGTAACGACAGGTGCGGTGTGAGGTTTGAGGGATCTGACAAGCGTCGCTTCAATTTGCGAAGCTTCGTCGAGAGGTGTGAGGGCGTAGATCCGCATCGACATGGATCGCGAGCAGGTAATGACATGAGAAGCCGAAGGAGTGACTAAAAATGGTTAGTTGACCGTTTCCCTCCATAATAGACTATCCAATGCAAGAACGTACTGGCTAGACTGGTGACGATTTCTCCATCCTATGCAACTGTTAGTCTGCGCAATTCGTCGCCTGACAATTGGAAAACTTACACCCTCCAGATTGGCAAGCTGGTCGCCAGACTCAAGATCCACAATAAGGACCTCTTCACCAACACATGCGGCCAGCAAACGGCCACTAGCATCCAGCGCAGTGCTCCCTCCGGTGTATATGGGGCGAAGCGTCCGCGACGCCTCAAAGGTCGTCTTCACGACGGCTTTCGACATGGTGTTTCGGGCTATTTCAAAGTAGAGTCACTAGAAAACTATCGCGCCATCCTATACTTCACGAGAAATGAGTTGTAAAACAAGTGCAACAACCTGCGTCGCTAATGACTGGTTGTTCACAGCTTCAACCGGGGAACTTTTCATCTTTTTTTCGATGCGTTTGGATCGTTTGCATTGTTTGGGAAGTTTGCATTACGGTTGAGATAAAGTTGGCATGTCCAACAAACGCGGCAAGCGCCCACGTGATTGCGGCGCCTGTTTCCGCGGTGTTCTTTGACAAACATCTATCATCATCGCTAATATTGTCCACGATAATAGCTTGGTATTGCTAGCTTGCTGCGGCTTTCTAACTCTTTGTTTGTATCTGTGTTGCATAGTGCTATGAGTACCTCGATAATTCGTTGACGGTGACCCGAGTCTAGTTGCAAAATGGGGCGACAGGCTTATCTGAATCGGCTCGCTTTGGTAGGCTTTCCATATTTTCTTTGTAGCTTCAAAATTTTCGATATGCTTCTGTTTTGCTGTACTCCCAAAGACTATGTTCCAAGGATAGTTGGTTGTATAAAATAGCATTTTTTTTCCTTCCATGATCTCATACACTGAGCCTTTTTTGGCCTATACTGACTATTTAAGGGCCGATCTCCGTACGAACCCCCAGAGCGTGCTCCCAGCCCGCCAGATGAGCCGGTTTCCGGATACCGGGAGCCTAGTATCCATGCAGATGGCTACGTGCAGCGCTATGATGACCGAGGACATCCGGTAAATCCTGAATCCAAGGCACTCGGGAAGGAATTGCGAAAGGCCAAGAATGACATCTTGTCAACCATGGGCGTTGTCGTTAGCGGCGAAGATGGAGGGGATGGAACGCCCAATGAGCAGCAGAAAATCAACATGATAGCTGCCGAGAACGACTATGGATTGGTTATGGCAACCTTAGATCAGGTGTCTGTTTTCCTGGGTTCGTGGTGGACGTCATCACTTACAGGGCGGATACAGGTAGTCTACTTCACTTGAAGTGCTCGAGATTCTCAGGCTGACTGTGCTCAGACATTTAAAAGCTACACTCATGTTCCTTTGACGCATATCATAAACTATGAGCGTGATTCTATTGGAATTGCCGGTTTCTACTTTGCTGGGATTCCGGCGTGGACTGTGTCGACCTGCCTGTCCATCTGTCGACACCATCCTCTAGAGCGGTTGATTCTATTTCTACAGAGTCACCTAACGCAATATTCTCCTAACGAGTTTTGTACTAAGATCATACAAGCTTCATTCACCACAGTACACTATGCGTATGTAAAGTTTCTCGGTTCGTGAAATTGCTACTAATACCTAATAGGACGAGGGGGGTTTTACTAGTTCTAGCCGTACAGACATACATGTACTCTCTTTTACAATCTCTGCACCTTGTCCACCCATATTGCATGCCGAGCACCAGTTTCTTTGTGCCATTTGGCGAACTTGCACCGACACAACTCCTCTCTTTGCCGGCAAACCTCTCCTTTGACTCGTTGGCCAAGTTCTGTATGGGTATCTTGAAGACACCCTCGCTTTTGGTTTACTTATACGTCTACTTGCGTCCCATAGTTGAAATTAGGCTCTACCGGTTGATTCGCCGACGGCTACCAAAGCCTAGCCTTGCTGATGAGCTCTCTATCCGGGTGGCTTTTGAGAATGACCTCATTGATTGGATGGTGCCAACACTCGGCCGCAGGGCAGAAGAAGAGAATCGTCGTGGTAGTCTGACGTTTTATGAGGATATTAAGTATGAATTATCTGTTCTTCGGAACTGGGCACTTTCATGGTTCGGTTTCAAACGGGCACAAGCACTGAGTCATCTAGACAACGCTTCCCAGAGAGAAGAGAGAATTGAATCATTACGCCAGTGCATTGAAGAATTGCAGAATGGGCCAGGGGAAGTGCAAACCCGAACAAATCAGCGAGAGCGTCCACAGCCATTAGCAGAACGAACTCCTGCTAGGAATGGAGGCATTTGGCCTAGTTCGACCACTCCGAATCTTTCCGTACAAACTTCTGGGCCAGGAACCAGCTTTCATGGGGATCGTATTCTGCAGAATGAAGAAAATCGGGTTTCGCAGTCGCCTGACGCTATGAGCACTGATATCTTCTCAGACATGCCTCCGTTGGAAGGGACAAATGCT